AGCCCTTGGTTACAACAGAGAGAGCAAATGTGAGAAGAAGCAGTTTTTTCTCCTTTAAACCATGAGCGCATGTTTGTCTATTAATCTCCTTTTGACGCAATATTATTAATGCAAATATACAACTACTGTTAAATGGAGAACAATAGACAAACATGCGCTGACTACCGGTATGTACAAAGTCAGTGAAAAAGTGGGCGTCCTCATTATTGTACGGAGATTCAAGATATTGTGATGACTCCCACCTTTGAAAACAGCTTCGTACTTCCTAAATACATACTTTTATTTAATGTAATTACTTAAAGTTGTAGATTACATGTTGATCATTCCTGCAATTAAAAGAAAAATGCTTGTTTTGTCGCAATTTTCGCATGTCCTTAAGTGCAGTCATTCTTCGCAACCAGTGTGCATGGTGCAATGCTCAGAACATTTTGTCAATAAAAGTTTATTGAATATACACTGTACTACAAAGCTTATACAATATACATGTACTGTCCTGATAGCTTCCTTCCTCTGTCCAACATTTTCAGCAGATATTTCAATTATCTGATAATTGAAAATTTGAAAGTTGTATCAATGTTGTCCTTTCTATAATCAAGGAAATAATGATAGTTTTAATATTTCCTTATATGCATGTTATACACCCAAATTAAGTGGTAAAACTAACCTGCACCTGGTGATATAGATGCTAGTGTCTTCCTTCTAAACCTTTTATAAAACTTTGTTTTTTTGGTCGTCATTTGTCAGCATTAACCACCTGAATTTCAGTATTATCCTTTGTACATAGTTTCAAACTTTCTGTCATTCACAATTTCAATACACATGGCCTAGTTAATCCAAGAATGCAATTAACACACGGAATATGTGAAAATAAATTTCACCAATTTAAGGAAGCAGCTTTATAAATTCATTTAAAAACAATTTATTTAGTGCCAAAACCTTGATTATGGAGGTGAAATGTTGTATGTACATTTTAGTTTAAATTTCATGGAACAATAAAAATTATTTAGAAATCTGTTTCCTTGTAAAAGATTCAACTGTTCAAAGGAGTGAAACTTACACCAATATGGTAATAAAAGTATATAGGTAGATAATAATTGTAGCTGTGATATTCAGACAAGAGACAGTCAATAAAGATTGGTCTCCATCGTGTTTACATACTAAGATATTATTTTATTGTCCATTCTGTTTCACTCTGAGAATAAACAAACTCTAAAACTGTGTGCTTTGAAAGAATCATTTCAGTTTGTGTATGATAATTATGTTTTACTTTAAAAATTCTGCCTGCAAACTCTTTTAAGATAGAAATATTGCTGAACTCAAAATATCTATGACTTAAAGCACCTCTTTTGACAAAAACACTCAAAATCTCTTATGCGTTTTAGAGGTATATAGTAAACTGCTCTAAGTATCACTTGCCTGACTGCAAAAAATTTAGTATTGTACAAAACAATTTTGAGAAAACATTGGAAAATAAAAACAATTCCTGAGGCCAAGTAATTAAGTTTTTTTTTTAAGAACTTAGGCAGACATATTATTTTACAGGTATGCCATTGATTAACTGCATGCTAACAATTCAGAAACACTAAGAAAACAGAATTTTCTCATTTCTTCAAGTACATGTATCATATGGCTAGCAAAACTTATATAACAAAAGTGCTATTCTAGACTAAAATCTTGAGCCTTTTGTGTGTGTATGTATGTGTATATATATATATGTCCTTATATATATATATATATATATATATATATATATATATATATATATATATATATGTCCTTTATATATATATATATATATATATATATATATATATATATATATATATATATATATATATATATATATATATATATATATATATATATATATATATATATGTCCTTATTTCAAGGAACTTTATATTATTCCTTGAAACCACTCTATATACACATATCTATATCAATGACCAAATAAGCACCCTGAGGTCTTCAGACAATACTGGATCAGAATTACTTATAAGGGCTTGCAGGTTACATAAAAATGAAGAAAGCATTTTATTGTATATATAACATGATATAATGACAAAAGTTTTCCTCATTTCATGCATGGAAATGTAACCTGAAAATATACATCTGTTCTAGATGATTTTTTAAGTCTAAGGAGGGGATCCTTTTTTCTAGATTAAAAATATCTGGGTTGGGTGGTTGTAGGAAATAGGCATGTACATATCTGCTTGCAATTAGGCAAATGTATTTTGTAATATCTTAAACCTTTTGGTTATATCCATTGCATCCTATTAAAGCTGCTTGAACCTGTGTGGTATATTTAGCATTAAATTAGAGGATGATCTACATATACTTCTCCAAATGCTTCTTCTGCAGTATTGGTGTACGATGTTACGAGTCAGCTGTTAAGAGTTACGCGAGCAGGTCCCTCCCCAAACACATGTTCCACGTGCCATTCCATCATCTCGTATTCTACTAGACAGATCTCAGTCAAGAGTGTTTAAAAAGTCATTAAAAACAAGAGATAAAAAGTGACAGGAAAATTATTCAGCATCAGAAATTTAATGTTTTCTACATGAAAGGAAGGGAAAAAAACAGGAAAGTAAGGTCTGATTAATTCAAGCTGAAAAAAGATATTTACTAAATGAATTTATTGTGGCTATATTGCATCTAAAAGATTCCCTGGTTTATGAGAGAGAGAGAGAATGATGAATGAATGAATAAATGTACTGATACATTGCACGAAACAGAGGTGCAATGAGATTTATAAGACTGAATAGCAGCAATTATTACAAATCTTTCCTTTACAAGAGACAGCAATACAATGAGATTTATATAACAGCAATTACTGTAAAATCACATATTTTTGTGGGGTCAAATTGTCATGGTTTGAGGAAAAAAGTGGGTTTGTGGGGATTTAATTTCGTGGATGAAAAATTGTTGAGTATTCATATTCCAGTACATGACCTTTTGAATTTCATGGTGGACATGATTTAAAGGTTCTCTGCATACCTCAAACAAAAAAAAAATGATAATTAAACCCCCACAAAAAAAGATTTACTTGACATGAATGATTCTGAACTCAAAGTCAAAGGCAATCATGTTTTATAAGAAAATACAATACCACATATATCAATATTGATATTTCCCAGCAGATTAACATACCAAATATCACTCTCTTAAACTCTTAGTCTTCATTAAAATGAAAATATTAAATTTTGTTTAGGCTTGTAAACACGTCCACTAGCCATTGTTTTTTCCAAGAGGACGTCTTTTAAGAAACATCATGAATATACATGTATGTATATATGTATGATACCATGTCATTCTGAATAAGGAAATATTCCTATCTATTTGTTTAGACTTTTGACCTCTAAGTATGGCCTTGCTGACCTGACAATTACAAATGACCTTCACCATATACTAAGTCTCTCACAAATAGTTGTGACCACGATTTTCAACAAACATAATAGTCATGCAAAAAAATATGCATTTATATTACTTGGGATGTAGAAAAACTGAACCCATTAGGCCTTACTTCATTTTTTTTTTTTTTTTTTTGCTTAAGGACTGACATGTTCCTCAAATATCTGTTTTTGCATTCCTTTGTAATATGCTAAAAAGCTTTTTAATTATTCGGCATGTTTTGATTTCTGAACTATTTTCAAAATGTCTTAAAATATATAATCCAAAAATATTGACATCTGTCATCAGTAATTTAAGTGATTTCCAGTATAGGATAATATTGGAAATACCATCCTCCGGAATCTTGCACAAATGCCTGGTAATGTACCCCAATTTTTTGTGAGGAAACTTCTTAAAATAGCAATATTTCAATCACAAATTATTGGGGAAAGTTATATATTTTTGAGGAATGTGTCGCCTGACCTTGAGCATAAAAATATCTTGTCCTTGACATATAAAAAAAGATTGTTTTTACCTTTGAGTGTCTTGGATGAGCTCTGACACTAACTAACAACTAACAGCTGTCAGAAAAGAGAGAGAGAAAAAAAATCCTTAAAAAAAGACCAGGAAGAGCAAGGCATGGATATTCACATCTCACAGTGAATCAATTCTACTTTTTATTTCCTCCCTTCTGTTCTATTTTGTGCTACGAGGAAAAAAAATTTCTGAGAATATATATAGGCAGAAATATTTGCTTTGTGAGTGACTGCTTCAAAAAAAAAATATCACGTTATGTTCATTGTTTATACTGATTACATTTGTATATTGAATGTGGTACGTATCATGTGGAAATATCCTCTATTGGAAATAATTTAAGTAGGTTAAAGGTCAATTTAGTAAACCCAGAAATTCTGCCTAATTAAATTTTACATCATCATATGTAGAAATACATAACTCATGTCTGCAAAAATATGTCCCATATAATGTCTCAGATAAGGAAACAGAATAAAGTGCATTTGAGAATACAATTGAAAACAAAACAAACTGTTGTCCCATTAAAAAATGTTTCCTGTATAAAATCTATATTAAAAACAATAGACCCAATGGAAGCTTTCACATCATTTTCATCTTTTTCTGGCCCAGTGGTTCTTGAGGAGATTTTTAAATGACCCCACCCAATTTTTACTTTTTCATAGTTATCTCTCCTTGGAAGAAGGTGTGGCCCTTCATTTGAACAAATTTGAATCCCCTTTACCCAAGGATACTCTGTGTCAAGTTTGGTTGAAATTGGCCCAGTGGTTCTGGAGAAGAAGATGAAATTGTAAAAAGTTTACAACAATAACAATGACAGACAACAGACAAATTTTGATCAGAAAAGCTCATTTGAGCCTTCGGATTCACACAAAAATTAATCCCACCATATGGCATGCCTAAACAAAGAGTGTGCTAAAATTTCTAGCATCTGTCATGAGTAGTTGCTGAGAAAACTGCAATAAAAAAATTGTTACGGACAGACAGACAGCTACACACACAGACAGACAGACACACAAGGGTAAAACAGTATACCCCCCTCTCCTTCGGAGCAGGGGTATAATTAAATGATAACTTACTTGGATTGTTAATTACACAGTTCAGATCTCGTTTCTGTATCAGTGGCTCTCCGCACTCTGATCTCAGTCTACCATAAGGTGCTGCTCTTCTCTCTGCCACACAAGCACGTAGGATCCACCTCTCTGCTAGATGTTCTATCTGGATCTTCACCACGTCTCCCTGTACCTGGTCTAAAAATTCAAAGCAGAATGAACAGGTGATCTGCATCACTGAAACAACAAACCAACTTTTATGGCAAGAATTTAAAGAGAGGGAATTATCATGAACTAAAAGTTTAATAGTCATACCTCCTCATTTCTAACTCGATGGGACCAAGAAAAAACTTCGAGATAATCAATGATTTGAGATATCAAGGGTAAAATACTTAAAAATAAGCAGTTGGGACTTCCAAATAAGTTCGATATATCCACTGTGTTCAAGATATCAGTGTTCGAGATACCGAAGTTCAACTGTATGTTTTTGAAAAGGTAACAGATTGAAGCTTGATAAAATGAGACAGTTCTGGGGTGCATTCAAAAGTGTATCAGCTACAGAGCCTCTACTTAAATCTTGAACAATATGCTAACCTAGCAACTACATATGGAAAGCAAGCTTGAATATTTTATGCCAGGTACCAAATTCAAGATGGCCTCCTTAGTAACTGCCTTGGATTGCATGAAATACCAATAAGAAGCAGGGTTGTTTTAATAGTAAATTAAATTTTTATTTACAAATACATTTTCGGTTAAATTCAGCTCACTTTGTTCCAAAATTAAGTCATAACTATGATACTTGTATCCTAATCTAACACCTAGCAGCTATGCGAGCTACCAGTTCCAGGAAGCTAGATATATCTACCACCTAGCTGCTAGGTTAGCCACTACGATCTTGAACACAGCCCAGATGTAAGGATTTGAATCCTGACCAGGTGCTCTACCAACTGGCCAGCAGCAATCAAACCTGTCTAACTGCCACATTGTTCTAGTTAGAACTATATGGACTATGCATATCGGCCTGGGTACCCAAGTGCTTAGAGCACCTGACTAGTGATATAGGGGTCCCAGGTTCAAATCCCAGTAGAATCAAATATTTTCTTTATTCATTCCTTCTTTCCTGCTATCAGTAAGTTGTAAATGAAGCACTAGATAGAAAAAAGAATCCAACCTCTTGTACTAATGTACACAGGAGGTAGGATTTTCCTATCTAGAGCCTTATTTACAAGCAAAAAAAATTTCAGGTGCCTGTGGTCAAATCCACTGGTATTTTGTATGTTGGGTCTATGCTAATCATGCTAATAAATACATATGATACATATTGAAGGGTATTCTTACATGTAAGTACGTATGATCATACAATCTGGCTCTGACGTGCAAAATACGATCATCAAAGACAAGTAGTGAAAATTGAACTTTTGCTTTCATAAAAAAAAGTATTGGGCAAACGGTAAATCTAGTACTCCCGACTGTCCTGGATTAAATTCAGCTTCTCGTTGATATCTTTTTTATCAACGCAAAGTATCTCTTGAAATTTTTCAGGCACATTTTCTAGGTTGAAATAAATTCCCAAATGCATAAAAGTTTCAACAAAATTATGTATAATGTATTGCTGCCCAAAAGCAGTAAATCTAGTTCTGTGTTATAAAAGCAAAAACCCCAAAAGGACATTGATACATAGCCAAGAATTGCAATAGTTTAATTGAGGTTGGTGTAATATTTTATCATAGGGAGTAAAAGGAAAAAAGACAAATATTGAAATAAGAGGGCAAAAGTTTTTTTTTATCTTCTCAATAAAATGGATTGATGTTTTATATATTATTATATTTTGATAAATAAAATGGATGTATTAAACAGTTATAAATGAATATTGTTAACGTTTTCATCTCATCATCGTTCAGGAAAGTACAAACAGATATTTATGACGTCTTCAATCAAAACAGACTGTTAATACCTATCTACAAAGTGATGGAAGTCTGAAGTAATTAGAGTAGTGCTTTCAAATAGTAGATTCAAGTAGTCCGCAAATGTTTTAGCATGTTCAGGAAATCTCGCTTTATTCCTCCTCTGCTTGACGGTTGTGTAAGGGAATACTGCTAGGTATATGAAAAATAGATTGCAATATTACGTCCATAGATGTCATGCTTTTAAATAGTAGCTATTTAGGTTATGTTGGATTATATCCTTTTTTTAGATGCAGCAATTAAATTTCACCTATGGTAGGGAACAACATGCATTAAATCTAGTGCAGTAAAATTTCTTTGAAAGTAAATAAAAGAGTGAACAGAATGTAACTCTGAATCAAAGTGACTAAAATCAAATACACTTTTGTTTTTTCTCCTATGTGATATTATGATTAAATAGCAATATATAATAAATCTATAATGCTCTAGATAACATGTGACTTAATTTGTCTTCTGAGGCAAAGTTATACTCTACTATGAACTATATGTATATATTGGAACAATGATACAATTTAAATCATATTTACAAAATTAAAAAAAGTAAACCATAAAACAACTACTAAAAATTGATTCAAATTTAATTCAAAAAGAGGGAGTAGAACCATGAATTGTACACATTAGGGCTGGGATGATACAACTTTTTCTTTTATATCCATATGCATCACAATATTTGAGCCACGTACGATACAATACCAATCACATGGTTATAAAATGAACAAAACATCTCTTCACAAATAAGAATAATTTATTAAAAGTTGCAAAACAAAACTATTTTACACATGTATTTCATATTTATATTTAGCATATTTATTTTATATATTAAACCCAAAATGTTAAGTAAACAAAGAAAAACATGTCAGAACTTTTTTTACGATATTTCGATATATCTTCATATGTATCGATATCATCCTCACACAGAATATTATCAATATCTTGATGTATTAATCCAAGCCCTAGGACACATAACATGCACTTGTGTTAAGTGGCTAAGAGTTCCATGAAGAACACAGAAAAATATATGGACTTTCTGTGCATGCATATTTATTGGTATTCATATGAAGTTTCCTTCTTATTTCATTTATATATTTTAATTTGTATTTGTTGTACTTTATCACAATTCTTATACCTAATTAAAACATGATGAAAACCCAAGTTCTAATGGATTGATGCCCATTTTCGGTTTCTGCATTTATTACACAGTACTAGATTCAAGATCCAGACACTGACAGCTCAGTATTACATTATGCTATAACTCTATTACTGATAGGGAAAGTAGTCTCAGAGAATTGACACTGTATGTATACCAGACTTAACCCAGGTCTGGCATAATCTCTTGATTTAGCTATATAGCTTGATTTAGCTATATAGCTTTATTAAGCTATTTAAAATAGCTTGATTTAGCTATTTTATCACACTTTTCTCTTAAATGTGTTATTTTCTCAGCATGCACAAAGTCGCACCTTGGTGCAGTGATAATATTCAACCTTGAACTCTTCTGAAAATAATGCATGTAAAAATCACTCATCAAACTGTGTCTCCTGAAGAGACTTTGTACTCAAAGTTCTAAAAGTTTTGGGACTATATAAAGCAATTGATAGTTACTTCTTCATTGAAATTATAAAAGAGGCCAATTATGGTCAACAAGATAATTTATTGGTAATAATTCAGTACAATGAGAAGCAATCATACTTATCCACGCCTCAACGTACACAAGGTAGTGAACTGTTACTCAAACAATGGAAATTCATCTTTTGCTTAAAATTATTCAAATGCTGCAATGATAGAACTATCTTTGATTTCTGTTGTTGTTTTGATAGCCCATAGTACATATATGAATAATCAAATACTTGCGACTTTTTGTCTCTTTCTTACAAAAAACCTTTTTGCTGAAAAACTGCACATAAATAGCTTGATCAAGCTATTCTAAATAGCTTAATAAAGCTATATAGCTTTTTCAAGCTATATAGCTGTGCTGGACCTGTAACCACTTTTGGGCAGGTGACAATGCTAATTCAACATATTCTGATTTATATACGTAGATGTAATTTTGTTGATACTTTTATGCATTTGGGAATTTATATTAACCTAGAAAATAAGCCTGAAGAATATTAAGATATTCTGTGCATCGATAATAAAGATATACGAAATCCCGGACAGTCGGCAGTCGGACATCAGGAGACGGGAGTACTAGATTTGCCGCTTGCCCAAGTTTGGTGAGGTAATATAAGCCCTAACCTGTCAGAAATTTCAATATTCACACATATCACCATTGCCATAGCCTTACACCTCCTTGCATGTAAAATAATAAACAGATTCTAAAGTAGATCATCTATGACTATGTCCGACCGAAAAATGCGCCAAGATTTAAACTGGAAATGAGCTCCGCAGTCTAAAACATGAGTCCTCGATCAACTATTTTTCCGGATATATACATATATAAATGTTGGTTTCCCATTTGTTGGTCTCCACAACAATTTTCCTTGTATAATTAGTTTAGCAAGAAAATAATCAAAGGAGTGAGTGATTAAAAGTGAATAGACAAACACAAATATTACAATATTACTTACGCTGGGGAGGGGGGGGGGGGTAAGGAGTGGGGGCTCCCCTATTCAACTGGAAATCTTTATTCCACCCCCTTATCCACTGTTTTCTCATGAACCAAAGAATTATAAACATGACTTTTTAGTTGATGATTCACATGTATTTTGAGGGCAAATGTCCATTATGATAGATACAATTAGCAGGAGCGAAAATACTCATGATTAGTATATAGCTATAATAAACTTTACCGGTCTCTTATTCAATGCCTGATTTCGATAACGGTCATTTGATTCAGTTAATTAACAAAACACATGGCAACGCTTTCGTCTAGTCAAGGCGCCGACAGTTTTCACTCTTGCGTGTAACTTTTATGGGCAAGTTCTATCATAGTTCCAGAAAGTGGGACTAGTTTATTGACTATCTATCGAGATTTAATGCATGAAAGTTTAAAAAAGTCTTGATTATTTTTTCACACACACTTTAGAGGAAAAATTTTGCCACCCATGAATCTCTCTCTCTCTCTCTCTCTCTCTCTCTCTCTCTCTCATTTCATTTTACGCAACATGGTTGTATGCCAAATGTGTGGTGAATCAATAAATGAAATTGAAATAATAAAGCATGTTTTCATACATCATTCCATAATATTATCTAATCTAAACATCCTGGATCTTCTAAATTTTCCACTCTATTCCCACGAGTTAGTTCTAGGGATATGCATTAGAAAACTTCATAGATCTAAATCATATATTAAACATTTTGATTTCAGAACAGAAGTAAACTCATTGTTAAATTTGTGATAATGTTCTTTTTAATTTATATTGAAAAAAATAATTTTTTTGACAAAGGGGTATAAATAAAAGGATTTATTTTTGTGTTCTTGCAAGACAGAGCTTCATGGGGCCCGGGAGCTCAACTCCTCGGCTTTGTTCCCATAGACCTTAAAATAATTAGAAGTTTTATTAATTCTTATCACTAATTTTGACGACAAGAAATAAAAGTGTCTTCTTAGAAAATTTCCTTCTTGCCCTATAAATCTCTAGTTGAATCCAGGACACATCGGGTGCTTCGACACGGGGGCCCCATCAGGGCTTCACCCTGGACCCATTAGGAGCCTCAAGGGCTTTAATTTGCCACTGGGGCCCCATCAGGGCTTCACCCTGGACTCACTGGGAGCCTCAAGGGCTTCGCCACTGGGCCCCTCATGGTTTTTCCCTGGTTCCACTGAGGCCTCAAAAGAAATTCGGAAAACTTGCCCCCTTTATTCTTCACAATTTATACCTGCCCTGCGGTGGATTTGGTGGAGGGGCACCCGCAGTGCCCTCTATATAGCCTGCTTTAGAGTGTTTTTAACTAAATATATAGAGACATGGAAAAAAGGAAATGCAATTCAAACAAATAACTTATATACAGTATTGCAAAACATCAAAAATAGATATCCCCCCCCCCCTCCAACTGATCTCCTACCTTGAAATGTTTGATCCTCTCCTTTTGTTACTAATAATAGAAAAATGAAATATGCGTAATACCTGTAGAATTTATACTTACACTGAAGGATGCTCTGTAGCGAACTGTCGCTCTCATAATCATCCATTGAAATTTCCTGTCCCATGTCGACTTTTATCTATTTATATCCGCAATTTTAAAAGCAATTCTATGACAGAAATTAAGAGTGTCATATTCTTTTTCCGTATATTCAAAAGCACTGCACAAATGTGTTGTAATGTTTCCTCATTATCCAATTTATGGTAAGTATTCTCCTATATTCGTAACACGAGAACAAACCTATAATTTGGAATTAATTTTGTGAATCGAAATAACATGTTTTTACCGGCGTGTGTAGCATCCAACATATTTAATTTATGTTAAACCTTCTTTCGAAAAAGTCTGCGTAATGAATTTCACGTGTCAAAGTGCCTCCTATAATATATATTTTCTGTAATTTCAAACACAACTTTTCAGAACAGAAACCTCGATCCATTTTATTGGCAGACAGGAGCTTCTGTTACAATTCAGGACGGCTGTCCGCGATTAAGTACCATGTTTCTTCACGTGTTTTAATTGTGTACATTTCATCTTTTTTAAGTTATGAATGAAAGTGAGGCAATAATTTGATTATGAACGACCGACTGAGAAAGATGCTATGCTTCAACACCAGCCACAGAGAGAGATTCCAGGCACCCCCTTTAACGCACGTGCGACTGTCAGCTGTTCGCAAGCGCTCGCGTTCTGAGAGTTTGCCACTTAAGAAACAAACAAAAGCTAGCTTCCACCACTTAAACCATTCATAAACAATTTCGGTCATTTGTAAGCCTACAAAATTCCTTGTCTTAAGATCTGTATACATGCGAATAATTCCCTTTGCAATTTTCACGAGTTCTTGCTGAATCTAAAATAATAAGAAAGATCTGGAGATAACATACTGTCAACTTTCTTATTCTTTTCAAAGTGTTATTAGACCACAATTAGTTTCCACTCGCCACATTTCTAACATACGTTCAATTCAACTCATCAATGTAATCACTTTTACAGTACTGCTTTTGCTTTGTATCATGTACACATTGTTCAGTGTGCATATGTAAACTTCAAAATATTGTAAAATGAAACCAATGCATTGATTATGCGAAACTTTAACATCTTTTATATTTTTTAGTTCGATCATAAATCCTAGGGTCCATTCGAACACACTACAGAGCGAATATATTATCTTTACAAAGAATATTTTGTGAATTAAGAAACTTATTTACACACTTTTGACTATATAGTGTGGCCGACGACGTTGACTTTAAATATCAAAGTCGGATCCTGTTCAATCATGAAGCTACCATAAAACTAAGATATGTCTCAGACTGCTCTTAGGAAAAATTTAAGTTTCTTGAAGCCATCCTAACTTAACGATGCATCTTAAGAATTGTCTTGAGAGCCTAAAGTTGAGATCGATATACAGATTTTTATAAAAGCCTTATTAGAAACGTTTTCTATTTAATATATATATATATATATATATATATATATATATATATATATATATATATATATATATATATATATATATATATATATATATATATATATATATATATATATATATATAAGAACTATGAATTTGGGGACGCATTTGATTGACACATTTAATCCTTAACTTTTACGAAGTAAAACGTATCCTTAATATTTAATAAAATAGAAAATTGTTGCGTATTAATGAAAGATATTCAACTATTTTCTAGAAAATTCAGAGTAGAAATGCGAGAGAGCAAAACAACAGACCATTGTTGTCAGCTCGCGTTCAGTGATGTGAGCATAGTTATACAAACCTGGTCAAATATACACTGTAACAGAGCTCGTGCCATGTTTACAAATTAACACAGATGTAGGACGATATTATAAAATTATCATTTAAGTTCATTACTGAAGTTATTTTTGAATAAAAATAGAAATGCGAAATTGAAGTAAACAAAACAACAATGCAACAAGGCTCCTTTAAGAGCAACTGAAGAAATCATAAAATCTGTCTTATCCTTCTTTGAATTGTTCGTTAATTGTCACAAAAGAGATATCGATATTGGAAAACGATATGTAGTAATTATGCATTTTTTACTTCTTCAGGAAGAGATTTGAGTTTTCTTTGGAAAAGTTGGGGTTTCGTTTGATTTTGTTTTTAATATATGTTTTAATGGTTCGCTCTAATTTATAAAGAATTGTGTACTGAGCCACTGGGTAGTACTAATCGCACAGATATCGATGGTTCTAAATCGGCGCGAATAAAATCAATAATCGATATCACTGGTGTAAAGAATGTTTGTTACTTTAAAAAGTAGTAGGGGAGGGGGGCATTTTTCCGAGAGTAATGCTTGGTTTTAAGGACAGATGATACAAACAAACTTTTTCCAAAATTATGAAAATAACTAAGTATGCTCATATAAGTAAAATAAATGAATTTAGCCGCATAAAGTTTCATTTTTTATTCCAAGTTTCTCAATAATGTCCTTTAAGGAAGCTCTAAACACTGCCCACGGAAGAGTTCTTATTCCATAGTACTTTTAGGCAGTTAGAGTGATCTGCTCTTCGATGTAAAATGGAATAAACGAAAATTTACAATTAATGACACATATTGAATAAATAAATTATTCCTAATATTACATTGGACCAAGATAAATTAATTGAAATGCAAGGAATTCCCGAACAAAACAACAGTGATTTTTGTTCACTAATATTTCATTGTCTTTAAACATTTTTTTTTTTCTGGAGAAATATGACAGGAGCCCTAATATGTTGACAATGTCAGTATGATACATCTAGCTTTTTTCTTGAAGTCTCCAATTAAAGTTTTTAATTAGTGTTTAGAGTTTCCTTAAAGTAATGTAATGATATACTTTAAAAAGTTTGTAGCAAAATAAAAGTTGCCCCCCCCCCCCTTTCCACGAAATAGGATGGTATGTTTTTCGATTTTGTGAGTTTTTGATTCTTTTTTATCCTTGCTTTTCAATTTTTTTCGGGTATGTGTGTTGTCAATTATCCCCTCTCACTTTGAAAAAAAAAAGATGTTATTTGCCTGATTATACATAAACATAATACTTGGACATGTATACTATTGTGTATTCAAGTATGCATTTCAATTAATGAAAATTCACATTAACATTTTAAATTTTAATACATTTCCCTATTTTGTTTTAAATTAAGAATATATGCTAAAAGATATAGAGTTGCAATTTCAATTGTTTTTTTTTTTCATTTTTATTTTTTAAGAGGAATAACTCAAGATGTTGTAAAATTCTGATGATACAGTACCTCTAAGATGCTTCGCTTAACATCTAAGTAATGTCTTAAAGTGTCATAAGCTATTTCTTAAGAAGGATGTTAAGATACCTTGATGAACATACCCATGCACAGGAATTGTTCCGACTCGAGGGACTGGGGCGTATCCAAGTAAAGATCCGAGGCACGACTTGCACATCTTTGACAAGCAAACAATTAAGAAAAGAAGGGCGAATGCCCAGGTGCGAAAAACTTTATTTGGTGTGGGGAGGGTTTTTCGTTCAAAGTCCTTTTTCGTAAACTGCTATGTCAATTATAATAGCCCCCCAAAATTAAAAAAAAAAGGAGCGGATCCCCTTAAATCCCCTTGCAGGACCCATCGTAAATGCTCTGTTCACTTAGGTATAGAAACATAAAACAGAGAGAGAGAGAGAGAGAGAGATGATCGATTTATGTTCGTATGTGAGAAGCAATCATCCTGTCATATTTCATATATAGTATATTTAGAATATATAACTCAAAATGTACACGTATTTAAAATTTGCTTTATTCTAAATAATGTTTTCCAGTTTTACCCCCCCCCCCCAAAAAAAAATCTCCATACTTCATATGACTTCCAGATTAAAAGATATTCATCGAGAATAAATTTCTAGGTATATGCAATTTGAAATTTCAGATATAGTTAGGGTAATTGAAAAGATATTATCTGATAAGAGTTGTGAATAAACTAATTGTTGAGTTAATGTTGTATGTTTTATCTGAGGTACACATGTATAATTATAATTATTTGTATATATTCGTTATTGAATACACCCCTTCCCTATTAAAATTATGACTCTAACCAACAAATTAGATCCCCTTATATCATGTGAAATGTGCTGATGTGAAGTCGAAGACTTCAACAGGCGCGAAGTGTCAGTATGAGAAGGGTTCACCTCCTCATGGGGGATGGGGGTCACCCACCAAAAAAAATACGGAAAATTAAAAAAAAAAGAAGAAGGCCAAAATGGTGCCATTTTGTGTAATTAAAATGAAAAAAGGTTTTATTTTGGTTCGCTATTTATATTACGTTTTTACACATGTATTTCTGGTCTAGGTATCAAATAAAAAGAAATTGTTTGCCGTAGAAATTTTCTGTGAAGTAGAAAGACATCCAAGATTGTCATTTGACCAGTCAATAGTGATATATACCTTCTTTTTTTTTTTTTTTTAGCAGTTATGAAAACAGAATTGTAATGTCCACTTAACAAAATCGAGAAATTTTAATCCTGTACAATTCAGTATGGAAACTTCCATTTTGAATGCTTTGTTTTATGGTTTCCCAATAAAACAAAAATATATCCTGTAAACAATTTTTATTTCATTGTTGACTTAGTAAAATGCAATTTGCTTAGAACAATTTTTTTCGCATTTGACATCAAATAAAAATTTTCTCGTTTTCTGATCATTTTCCCCTTTTTCAACCATACTGCAATATAAATATTTAATTTTTACAGATTGAGTAAAATGATGTGTTGGCTACAGCCTTTTTGCCTATACGGAATATACGCCACTGCCCATCTCGTTGAATTCTTCTCTAAACCCAGGATTAACGCCTTTTCAGTTATCTTTTGGGGGGATATTACAGAACAATTTTTTGTCAGTGTGTGAGTGTGTGCACATGTATGTGTTCCATACCCCTCCCCCCTTTCCCTCGATCTGACTGACACAAGTAATGCATCTCACTGCGTCAAGGCAGAGTATTTATTTGAAGGAGGCGTCAATGACCCAAATTCTACCCATAAGGTAATATGAAATATATAGGATTTCATGAGTTTTCGTCTTCATTAAGGTGTAATTACTTCCATATTGGAAATTCCATATGATTACGTAAGTGGTCCTTAGAGGTTCCACTGAACTCTTTTTATCCGTTTGCAATTGTCTACGTATACATTCTGTTAAATTTTGACCATTAAATGAGGTCAAACATAATTTCAGAAATAAAAATTAAAAGAATGTCAAAATTAAAAATATAAGTAAAAACAGAGAAATATGCGGAAATAAGATGTCCTTACGGGTTTCTCCTTCTTTTAGCATCAGAAAGTATGTATTCTGTTATCGGATTGGTTGCCTGATTCTGCACCAACGAATCATATTTCGTTTAACAATAGCTTATTGGCTAAACGGAACACTCGCGTTTTGGACTACCTAAGAGTTTTATGCAAAAACTTGGCTTTGAAGTTATTTTCCTGCGTTTTTAGATCCCGAAAAACTAATAGCCACATCATATTTTAAAGGTATTTCATTAGTTTTCCCGTAATTTAAGGTTATATGTACAAAAAGAAAGTTAAAGTCAGATTGTTCATGCATTTCGAATTTCCTCGAACTGTTTAAGATTAAAAAAATATATTGTTGATTGTGTTGAACTATTTCTGGATAGAGGTAATGGATTCAGTAACTATATTTTCATTCAGGCGCATATTTAAATGTTGAGTCCTATTTTTATCGCATTGCGACTTTTTTTTTTTTTACAATGTAACCAATTCTAAAGAGCAAACACCTGTATTGTCACCAATTCTCGAAAGCAAATAAGACAACAGTAGGTCTGTTTATATGCTTAGGTAGCTAGCTAGACACAGTCAAGATAGAATTAGATTTGGTCTGGGTCTGTCAACAGAATTGAACTCTTAAGTATCTATAAACATGCAACCCATTTTATTAATTGCCAAGTATTCTGACTGTTTGTTTACTAAATTCAGAATATGAACTATATTATAGTATGTTCAATAAAAAAGATTTATGATATACTTGCATTTCATTTTACTTTGCTATGATGGCAGGTACCATCCAAAACAGGGAAAATGTCTCTGTCGAGCAGGGAGTGGGACGACCTGAAGTCCCTACTGGACAAAGCAGTGTACAAGTTCCTAGGCTTCACTGAACCCTCACTGGTCACAGCTGCGCTTAACTGTATTGACAAAGGATATGACAAGAAAAAAACCATCAGTAAGTCAGAGTGTCTGAAAAAACAAATATTTCTATCAGTCATTTGGATGGATGACTTAGTGGTTTACCAGTCTGAAGCAAATTCTATCAGTGTCAATAAATTCTAATAAAGTTCATGGGCCTAATTCAAAACAAATATGGTGCTGGTCATGACTGGTCACTGTTTCACCTGAGAAAGTTTACGTCAAATTGCAGAACATCTATGCCTACCCTGGCCTTGTAAGTACTCAAAATGATTGTGTAAATGTTTCTGTGGATCAGTACAACACCAATGATTATCGTGGAACATGGCAATAGATCAGAATACAATAAGTGCTTTGTAAAAAATATAAAACTTGTGCTCCCTAAAGCATTTTTGAAGAAAAGACAAGACTTTCCGGGTACAATGAAAAATTCTGGATTGTTAAGGCTGATAATAATCAGTCACATGGACCAGTAGTACAACAAATTTAATCAGACATTTTGATTTTCTATCTGTAGGACCAATGGTTTTCGGAATCTTGAGTGTCAGTCTGCGAACTATTTTAGACTTAGTGCTGGGTTGGTGGTTTCATAAATATTGCTAGGTAGAACCGTAGAATGTTCTTTTGTTAAAACTATATTGTCTTGTGACCTGGTTTTAACAGTTTGTTGGCAATGCAAAATTAACAGGGGCAGATAATCCATGTGTGAACATCAAATCATTCATAGACTTAAGAATGTCAACATGGCAGATAAATTTGAAGCGAGAAACAAAATGCTGAGAAAATGAATTAAATTTTTCCTATATATGGACTTATTTTTTGTGGTGGAAGGTACATATAAGTAATGTTTGATTTTCAATTGTGATCACATTCTGTTTTGCTGCATTGCAGCAACATGTGATATATTTTAAACTGTTGTGAGGGCATATCCCAAGACACAGTTAGAATATTCTAGCTAAAAATTGACAGAAACACTATTTAACCAGCCAAATGTTTTCAGTCAATTAATTTGATCACATTAATGAAGAGGATCTTTATTGAATATTCTTTTGATTATTTAAGAAATTGTAGAATGCCACATTAAAGCACTAGTTCACTCTGAGCTGTGTTTCTTTTCTAAATCTTGATTTAACCTGAAATTTAGTGTCTAGAGACATTTTTTTCACAAGCTTATCAGGCTTGTCATAGATAACTTTTTTGCAAGCCCATGCAATGATAATTTTACCAGCCTGTGGCATAGGGACTTGTGTTTTTTGCTCAGACTGCAGTGTGTTGTTACAGTTTTAATGACTGACAAAATTTTATTGAAACACAGACATTGTAGAATAGTTTTTCAAAGTACAATGCAACATGGTAACACTAGCTCGTAAGAAAACCTTTTTATCCTAAGTGTCCATTTGTTGAAAATATTTTTTAGGGAATAGACTTAAGGATTGAAGATTTTTTTTATTATAATTTGTTTGAATGTGATCAAAATATAAGTTAAGATTTTTTCATACATGAAAAAAGCAATCCTATTTTGTTAAATATGTGATAATGGACCCCTATCTGAGTTATGAGGCTACCACAGTGACAGGAAAACCTGTCAGTTGTAGATTAAAATCAAAGAGAAGAAAGCTACGAAATATGTAATGTGATTGATTATTGCATGGATTTGATGTAAGCATTGATTGTTTGTTATATTTCAGTTGAACATTTACTTATTTATTGATTATCAGGTAAGCTGGAAGTTATTTTAGATGACAGACAGGCAGAAAAATTCTCTGAGAAACTTTTTGATGTCTGGGATGATTATAGAACAAAGAGTCAGCGTAAAAAGAGGAAGGTCAGTTTAAAAGATACAAAAATTCTGGTGGTTTGAAATATTTTCTCTGTATTTGTTGACCTGACACAATTTGTGTGAGTATTTTTGTCATTCCATTAAGAAAGATACCTTTTAACAGGAGGGTGACAGAGAGAGGGATGAAGCGACGGAAAAGAAAAAGCGGAGGTTTGTAGACGATGGTCCTGTTGAAGTACCAGTGCCAGCCATTCCTGGCCCCGGAAATCCCAGCCCTGGACAACTGACTGGAGACAAGGTATTGAGATTCTACTGTCTACAATCTGTGTTGATTTTTCCTTGAATGATTGATAACATGTCAAATTTGATCATTTGTAAAAGAGTATTTACCCATAAATCAGAGTCCTGTTCAACAGCGCTAGCGAACATTTCTGTTGGAGGTACTGTATAAGGAATTTTGGTGAGTGCTTGCAAACATTCGATCTGTTGAACAGGCCTCAGGTATTTTCATTTTGTAAGTTTCATTTCATGATGCCTGTATACTGGTATAACAAGGAGAGCTAGAAGGCTTAAACTTGACAAACTTTTCAGCATTTTTCTTGAACAAAATATCTTATTTTTTCCATGACCCATTTTTCGGACATCCATAGTAGTTAAAAAGAGTTATATTTGATAAGATAAAAACGGTTTTTGTGGTACCTTTGTAGCAGACATTATGTCTGTCGGACCATTTTTCTCGAATGAATTTTATACAAAAAGAGGTAACTTATACTGTAGGTGACATGTGTACCCTGAACATACATTGTATGTCTTTTAATAAAATTTCTTTGATTTATCATTTTGGAGGCCAAAAAAATTAATTGTTGTTTTTTGTATTACAGATAAAAGAAATGATGGCTAATGCTAAGAACCTGATTAATGAGAGGAAGACCCAGCTCTCTGCCATGATGCCTCCTCCCCCAAAGACTCAGGTACTTTTGATATAGACATGTACGTGATTGTTCCCCCCCCCCCCCCCCCCCCCCAAAGTCTCAGGTACTTTTGAGATATGACATGAACATGATGCTTCCTCCCTTAAAGACAGATAGTTTTGAGATATAAATGTATGTGATATGTGATGCCTCCCCCCCCCCCCCTACACACACACAAAGTCTCAGGTACTTTTGAGATGCACATGATGCCTCCTAACCCAAAACTCAGGTACTTTTGAGATATACATGTACAGGAATTTAAAGCATCCACAAGATTTTTTTGTCACATATATTTGTTGGGTTTTTGTGTGTGTATGTGTGAGTGTGAACATTTACAAAAAAATCAGCTTAATTTTGCAAAACGTAAGCACCATGAAATATTTTCTTTTTGCAAGAAATTTTCAAATAAAAAAATGCATAATAAATAAGTTTTTAAACGTTGATAATAATAAATCTTATAAATTCAATGTCAGAATTCCTTTTTTAGCATTAAAATTTTATAAATTCAATGTCAGATATTATTTTTTAATATTAAAATTTTAAACAATTTAAGAAGATCTTTCATTTTAAGATCTTGTCATTCAGCAGGGGGGATTGTCCCACAATGAAATCCTTATGAATGAAGCATTAGAAAAAGTGAGGCGAGCTCAGGAACTACAGGCCAAAATACAGAACCAGATGTCTGGTCTCATGCAAGGGTAAGAAACATAGAATTAATCAAGTCTGTAGATCAGCTAAGCCTGAGATTCAAATTTAGATAAATTCAAAATAATATGTATGGATTTAGGGTTTTCTGGGTTAAATCAAAGGTCTCTCTGACTGAAAATTAGTGTAAAAATAGAACCAAGAAAAAAAAGAATGGTTCATAGATGTTAATTCAAACACTTGATGCTGGTGTTTGACTTAATGCAAAGATTTAGGTACAAATGCTGTAAATGTACATAAATTAGTGCACTCAGAAGTTAGCACAGTCTGCCTAGCCGCCCTTGTCATTTTATGAGCTTTATTGTAAATGAGCACATTTGGAGCAAAGCTTCTATATGAACTTGATTTCATAAAAGATTAGCATGTACTTGAAATAACGGACAAAAAGAAGCTTGAAAGGTGGTAAAATATGATCACCACTAAAATTAGAGTATTTGTAATGTAGGAAAATTAACTCTGCAGGTTATTATTACCCATTACAATATATAGTGTACATACATGAATATGATTTTTAAATGAGTATATTCTTAAAGTTACAATGGTAATTTAGTTCATGCACATATCACACATGAGTATTTATTTATTTTTAGGAAGGGAGGTCAGGGTGCAACCATCCCAACAAAGTGAGTAAATATTTTTTGCATTTTTCACATAATATCACCAAAAAAATGTCCAAAAACAGAAATCACATTTTCATAAATACATGTATGAGAAAATGAAACATCCAGTTCTTATAAGATCTCTGTAAACAAATCTATTTTTGTATTTCAGACCCACACCACTGATCTTAGATGCTGAAGGTCGGACGATTGATGCTAACACAGGACAGGCCATTCAACTGACCCATCACACCCCTACATTAAAGGTTTCTATGTATAATTTATTATCCCCTACATTAAAGGTTTCTATGTTTCATTTATTATAAACTTATTGGTACACATCTCTAACTTGTTGTATTTTTTAAGTTTACGTGTTGTTATGTGTCAATCATATGTTGCACCAAATGGTGCAACATATAAAAATGCATCGCTGGTATAATTTTTGAATTTTACAGAGATTTATCCAGATATAAAATGTTTTTATTTTATTTAAGATTGATTTATTGTGGAAAGTAAAGCTGGATGGTAGTTGTTAGAAATATGTTGTTGTTTTATTAAGATACCACATATACATGTAAGTGTCTCACTGTGCTGGACTAACAGTAATTCATTGATTAAAATACTACCTACTCATGTTGCATATACATGTAATTTCTTTGTTTTCAGGCCAATATCAGAGCCAAACGCAGAGAACAGTTCAAAGGTCTGATAGAGAAACCCCCAGAGGAGATCAGCGAGGGGAAATACTTTGATCCCAGAGTAGGGTGTGTTATAAAGTCTCGTTGATACTGGATATAAAATCCTCCAATAGATGCTGTATAATCATAGTGATGTGTTATAAAGTCTCAATATGTCATCAGACTAAATGTACACCTAAAATTTCTTAAAAGATCCTGTAAAATTATGTTCAAAAATGTTTCTATACAATCAAATGCATATTTATTAGTAATAAACAAGAAAAGAGGTACACAGCATCATAACCAGATTTGGTGAATTGTGCTTATCTAAAAATAGCAAGTTTTATTTTATAAATCAATGTAATGTGCAGAAAGCAAAGTGCTATTTATAATGTTTCGCAACTGATATTTACATATCTTTTCTACAGAGCAAGGCAGGCACAGAGACCAAAGAGGGGATTTAAGTTCCATGAACATGGGAAATTTGAGGCTATTGCCTCTAGACTTCGTGCTAAGGTAATTCCCAAGAATTTTCAGCATTATTTCTTGAATTCTGATCTGTAAAAATATACATGTTTATTTTAAGGAAAATTGAAAGCATTGAACTGCAGGCAAGTAATGTTTTACATTGTCCCCAAATGTTGAAATAAAATAATCTTAAGCCTCATTTTGTATAATCACAAGTTTCACTTCAAAATGTAATTCAGAAAAACTGTTAAAATAAAAATAATCTTGTATCCTTGAAGTCTCATTATATACTGCCCTAGATACAAGTGACTGTAAATCAGTAAATTTTCATGACATCTTATTTCCATGAGAAAGTTATTTGGTATATTAGTGAGAACAAAATTTCAGGAGTTTGGGATATTTATATAATTTTAATAACACAAATACATGCGAGAATGGAATTTTTGAGAGCAGACAATCTAGCATATAAAATATCATGAATAAAATTTGATTTACAGTTTTCACTAAAATTTTGTTGTTTTTTTTAAAGGCCCAGCTTGACATTTTACAAAGTGAGATAGCACAAGCAGCAAAAAAGACAGGTATTGCCTCTGCTGCTAAACTTGCTACCATTGCACCAAAGAAAGAATTGGTAGGTTACCAAAAATGACTAAAATATATAAAAAAAAAAAAAAAACTAAAATTTTATAACTATGACACAAAGAGTACAAAAAATTTTAAAAAATGCAATAATGTAGCATATTTACATTTATATATAGCTCTCTTAAAAATGAAACCTTCACTTTTGTTCAGTGAGCTGAATAACTTTGACCCAATGAACAATGAACAAAGAACATGGATGTTTTCCATTAACCATCTTCTAGCAATATTCGGATCACAAAGTCATTAGGTTAAATTATCTGAGTTATCTTGTGACATAAAAGTTTGAAAGACACCAATAATTTTTACAGCCCTAATTCATGAACACTCGATTTATGAATAATATACCTTTTCTCATATTCATACATGTATAAAATGTACTGTGTTTGTTTCCAGAGAGAGGGTGAGATTCCTGCCGTGGAATGGTGGGATAGCTTTCTCCTACCTAATGACAGTTATGATGGAATTGAAGACAGACTGAAAGATGGAAACTTTGAAGGCATCACACATTTGGTGGAACACCCTATACAACTCAAACCCCCAAGTAATTGACTATTTGCATATCTTAGCATTGCCATCTTTCAAGTTCACAAAATGTACAATTAAACATGATGTCAGCATAAATGTGAGTAGTCAGTACATATTTGTGGCAAAACTGTGTGTAGTTGTTAAGTAATGCAAAACAATGAAATATTAACTCGATGCTAATGATTTAAGACTAGAAAGTCCTTGTGATGGAAGAATTTCTGTGATTTTCTATCATTTTGTGTGCTAAATAATTCTAAATGATTAGAACCTTAAGTTTGCAAGCATACATGTTCATTTAACTAAAGATGAAAGAATAAAAAAATAAATCACAAAAAAGAATTTTGATATAATTATATTGTTTTAATTCAGATGAACCTGAAAAGGGGCCTCAGATACCTGTATATCTAACGAAAAAGGAGAGGAAAAAATTACGACGACAGAATCGACAGGAAAATCAGAAGGAAGTAACAGAGAAGATAAGACTGGGATTGATGCCTCCTCCAGAACCTAAAGGTGGCGCTGCTGTGTAGTTAATGTTTGATTCAGATAAGGCAGTCCCTCTCGAAGCTTGGTTATAAATGTATTTTATGTTTCAAAGCTGAGCTAAAAATGCATTTCATACTCAGAAGTTAGGCCAAAACATTTCATAAAAGGGATCATATGTGCAGTTCTATTGTACAGGGATAGACATATTGTTACAATAATTAGGACATGACTTCATATGAGTAATTTGAAAATTATATATGTATTTTTATACATGTATTGCAATTCCCATGGCCAAATTAATGGCATTGACAGTATTTAAATTTTGGATTGTAGTTTATACAGTCATTCTGTTAACACTATTAACAAAATGATCTGTTTTGCTTTATAGTTCGGATGGCCAATTTAATGCGAGTGTTGGGAACAGAAGCTGTACAGGACCCTACAAAAGTAGAGGCCCATGTCAGAGCACAAATGGCCAAACGACAAAAGTAAGAGATTCCACACAGAAACCTACTTGTTTTTATTTGAACATGCTATAGAATTTACTTTAAATTAATTTATAAATGGTACTTCAAATAATAATCTCCTCTGTGTATGTGTAGACCCCATTTATGGGTCAGTAAATTGCTAAAAGGCTCACTCGTTATTACGTTCATTTTGTCTTGGTAAAGTATCATAACACCGAGGGCAACATAATAAAAGTTTCAAATAAAACCCATTAAAACATCGTTTTGAAAGCTTATGATATCCCTGAATGGGGTTGTATTTCTTCCATTCTGTTTTCATCTTCTTGTTTATGTACCTGTATATTTCTTTGTGCTGTTAAACTCTTTTTCCTTTATTTCTAATGCAGTATTTATATTTTGTAGTAAACTTTGGCTTTGTGCTTTCATTCCTGCCATTTTCTTTTACTTTTGCTTCAATGTGAATGTAGATAAAAAAAATTTCACTGAAAAACTGTTTCTTATTCAACAAATGTTCATTACTTAAAAGACAACAAAAAACCTTGTTTTCATTAATTTTTGTTTAGATTTATTTTTACAAATTTCATTTCACTCAAACAGAGCTTCACAAGATTTGATTACACACAAGCTTTATGTCACAACTGGCAATTATATATCCGTGTTCTTGTTGTCATTTGTGAGTTAGCCAAGACATTATCCAAGCTGTTAAAACTTGACTGAAGTTAAAATTTTGTCAAAATAATGTTTGATACCCAAGCTGTCAATTATTGCAGTTTAACACCAAACCGAAGTGTGCAGTGGGTTTAACATACACTAACACAATTAATGCAACCTTTCATTTTAGAAATTAGTTTTATTTTGTAACCAAGATATGAAAAAATAAAGTAAATTTACAGAGGTAAAGAAACTAGAAGCTATAAATATGCATCACTAATCACCTAATAGGCCTGGTAGTTTACACACGGACACCTTGTCAGCGTTGTATCTTATAAAACAGTCACTGAAATAACGAGACCCCACTGTATATTAGAAACATGAATATTGGATTTAAATCTTGTAAATAAATGCATTTTAGAGCTCATGAAGAGGCCAATGCAGCAAGAAAACTGACAGCAGAGCAGAGGAGTTTGAAAAAAGAGAAGAAATTGAAGGAGGATACATCCCTGGGGGTTCATGTGTCTGTATACAGGTCAGAGGGACGTTTATGTAATAAATGTACATACACATTACATTACCTAACAATGAATATTTTTCCTTCAACATTGAAATCAGTAGTTATATTACCTGCAGGTCTTACTGGAATGTAGTAGTTTTTTTTCCAATATCAATGTGAGGACCAGAAATATTCATCTTAATTAATTCCTTTTATTAATGCACCCTTCACTTTAGAAATCATTGAATCAGTGTCATGAGCTCACTATGATACATTATCTCCATTATTACAACCACAGGTAAGAATTTAATTTTTTTTTTTAGATTAAGAGATTTGACAAATCCAGCAAAGAAGTTTAAGATTGAAGCTAATGCCAAGCAGTTGTACATGACGGGGATAGTTATCATGCACAAGGAGTGTAATGTAGTGGCCGTCGAGGGAGGGCCAAAACAACAGAGGAAATTCAGGCGACTCATGCTCAATAGAATCAAATGGAATGAGGATAAACATAAAAAGTCAACAAAAGATGATGGTAAAGTTTAGAGACCTCCAATTATCCATACTGATTAAATATATACAAAGAGGGATAGATATTACAATAATTAAGAAATTGTTGTCCCCAAGAAGTTTAGGTACATAATATATGTTTGTTGAACAAAACATTGTCCATTTGTACCACAAAAGGTACTTACACGTAAAACATATCAAAATGCATTGATTTGGTAATGTAAATTAAATCCCAATATTGAATTTGCACATGAAAACAAATGAATTTTTCTAATTTATTACTTGCTTTGGATCAAATTATTCAACCAGCACAAGCAAATAAATATCTGTTAAATGAGTGAAAAATCATTAATGAAATGAAATACATGTGTAATATTTCCTGTTTTGTTTATTTCTAGATGACAGTGATTCTGAAGAAGAGCAGGATAAATCCAACAAATGTGTTCTAGTGTGGGAGGTAGGTTTTTACATAAATAGTTTTCACACTTATGAATACTAGGAACATATTTACCATTTTAAAGTTTTTGAAGTGAATAACCTTATAACAAGTACAGTGTATTCTATCGTCACTTCAAGTTACTTGTAATACATTTACAGTACTTAACATGCACAGTATTCATGTTCTTTCTGAAACAGAAAAAAAGAGCTCAGTTTAATATTTTTTCTCTCTCTTTTACCTCACCTGCTCAAGTGAGCTTTTCTGATCGGAATTTCTCGTCTGTTGTCATTATTGTTGTCATCATCTTTGCAAGCCAAGGGATTTCATTCCACTTTGCTCTCCACAAACCCTTGGCAGATTATGGCACTAAAATTGTGGCTGATGCATTGTTTCTTTCAAGCTAGACCTTTGAAACCACTTTTCAAAACAGCTTTCATGTTGCATTACATCAGACGAACAGTCATCTATAAACGTTTTGCTACTTCGTGTTCTTGTACACATGTATACGTTATATTCTCACTTCATATCTATCTTCTTCCATTGATAAACCTTTATCTCTTATAGTTCCTCAACCTCTGCTTTTATGTACATCTCTATTTCTTGTTTATAATGGATACCAAAATACAATTTGAAATCTGTTACCTGATTGGCTGAAATCCTGAGTTAAAATTTAGTGCATCCAGAAGATGTTGCTTATATGGGCCACAGTTTTAGAAGTGTAATCTGCCAAGGGTTGGTGGAGAGCAAAGCAGACCGAAGACCCCTGGCTTGCAAAGATGTGTCATCATAAACTTTTCAAAAACTCGTTTTCTTCAGAAGCATTGGGCCAATTTTAACCAAACCTGGCACAGAGTACATGGGTGAAGAGGATTCATCTTTGTTGGAATAAAGGGCCATGACCTCTTGAAAGGGGAGGTAATCAAGAAAAGGCAAAAATAGGGTGGGGATCATAAAAATCTTCTTCTCAAGGACCATTGAGCCAAAAAAGAAGAACATATGTCAAAGCTTCTTGACATAGTGTAAATTCAAGTTTGCTCAAATCATGGCCCCAGGGACATAGGTGGGAGGGTTAGGGGGGCAATGTTCTGAAGAACAGCAAGGCTAAGGTGACTCAGGTGAGCATTGTGGCCCATGGACCTCTTAATATATGTAAAAAACAATCCCTTATGGAGAAAGATAATGTAATTGAATTGATTTTAGGTGTATCAGGTATTTTTTTCCTAGACTTTGGTGTGAAATTTATCTTGTGCTTGTATTGAATAATGAATTTTAGAAACATACTTGTATATTAAACATTTTTTTTTTAAGAAATGGTAAGTTTCCATTATTATTTCATGTAGGGAACTACCAAACAGAGAGCCTTCACAGACTTCAAGTTTAAAGTGTGTCCGACGGAAGCATTCGCTCGTGAACAGTTTAAAAAATGTGGTGTGGAGCAATACTGGGACTTAGCATTCAGTGGGGCTGTATTAGAGTCTACACAAGATGATGACTTCTTATAGCATCAAAGTGTACACTGATCTGATGTCTAATGAAAGATGAAATGACTTGTCTAATGAAAAACAAGGTTTTAGCAAAACTGGTTACAGTTAAAATATGATGCTAAGATTGGTTCAAGGACATATGTGCAAAGTAAATACTTGTATTATTACCCATTTTGTGGGAAAAAAATTCTAAAGAAATTAAAAAGGAAACAAAATCCAGCATTGAAGCTTAATTGTTTTCATTAAATATGAAAGGGAAAAATGACAAGGGAGAAAGAGAAATCTAAGTTCTCCCCATAATTTTAGGGAAGAACCTTATCTTAAAACAGGTACAAGTATCCTGCAATGCAATAAGAATACATGGTTGTGATAACATACATACATGTTTTATTTATTGCCCATTGCAATTTCTTATTAATGCTTTATTACAAAAATAATACATAATAAATTTAATCAGTTATAAAGGAGAAGTGTACATGAAGGTGTGGGTAATGTGTAGGATTGATTTAACAGCTGTAAGAATCGCTTGATTTGGTTAGATTTCAGGTTTGATATACTAGTACATGTAAATTGTTTTTTTAATGAGATACTCAGTTACTAGTGCTGGGTACATCAGTAGGCATATGGTTTAATCTGAAATCCAGACCTACCTGTATGTATAGTCGCTATACCAAAAGACCTTACAACATATACATGGAAATGTTATTGCCCAGTGTAGTTAATGAAATGAAGTTTGTCATAGGAAGCATGATTTGGTTGCTTTTTTGAAATTCACGACTGCATTTTTGTATGATTTTGTTGTGATTCATTGTTTTTGGTATTGTTCACATAAAGTATCAATCAATAAGCAGAAGCTTTCATTACGTATGATAACATGCAGCAATTGAAGAACACATGCTACTATTTCTGTCAAAGTAAGTGTGTTCAGGACATTTGATCGCTGTGGCATTCCCGCTGTCACATCTATAGTATGCATCCCATGGTCTCATTATGAACTGGTAACTGCCATCTGGTCTTCCGGTACAATCTGGAAGTAGTCCCACTCCCCATGGATCAGATGCTGGTATAGCAAACTTTTGTATGCACGTACCGTTGTAAGGATAAGTTTGTATTACTCATACTCGGTCAATAGGACATTGCTCCTCTTCCACTAACCTATTCTGATAGCATCGAATAAATGCTTTATGTGAGTAGAAGAGAGGATGTTTAAAAACACCATTAGCAAACAATTGCCAGGCTGGTAACCATTATCACATTGTCCGCCGTGTCAGTTCCGAAATAAGTTGAGCCAGAAGAATCTGTTTATGGTAATATGTAACATGTACATGGTGTACTCAAATATGGTATAGTTAATCTTGACAATGCCATTTGAATGAGACAGATCCATTAAAATATGATTTGAATTACCATACCTATACTGGATTCCTAAGCTACCTAAAACTCCTTACATATAAAAGGTACATAGTGGGTTTGTACTACCGTACCCTCACTGCACATATTGTCGTCCATCGGTACATATTGTCGCCAGCTGAATAGTTACACATGTACATATTGTCGCTGGCGACATTATGTACCAACCTTCATTGCACATATTGTCGCCTCACAGATATTGTTGCTTGAATATTTTCTTTTGGTAGTTTTTTGAATGTAATTGATGTATAAATCACATCGTTATCTCTCGTATGCTATTTCATGCAGCACGATTGTGAGGGCACACATTGTCGTCTTGTACATATTGTCGCTGGCAAGGATATGTACTGTACCTATCTTATCTGCCCATATTGCCATTGAAGAAGATTTTTAAGGAATTTGCTACTAGTATATATTCCGATGTAAAACTTTGATCGTCCATTGTGGCCCCACCCTAGCCCCAGGGGTCATGATTTGAATAAATTTAAACCTACACTACCCGAGGATGCTTCCTTATAAATATGACTAATCATGGACTTGACGTTTTTGAGAAGAAGATTTTTAAAGATTTTCTGTATATATTTCTATGTAAAACTTTGATCGTCCATTGTGGCCCCACCCTATCCCTGCGGGTCATGACTTGAACAAACTTGAATGTACACTATGTAATGAAGCTTTCACATAAGTCAACTCTTCTGGCCCAGTGGTTCTCGAGAAGAAGATTTTGAAAGATTTTTTTCCCTATATATATTCCTATGTAAATCTTTGACCATCTATTGTAGTCCCACTCTACCCCCAGAGTCATGAATTGGACAAAACTGAATCTACACTTTATAATAAAGCTTTCACATAAGTTTCAACGTTTTTGGCATAGTGGTTTTTGAGAAGAAGATTTTTAAAAGAAGTCACTAAATTTTCACTAATCCTTAATTACCTCCCCTTGAAAGAGGGAGTGGCCCTTCAAACTTGAATCCCCATTATCCAAGGATGCTTTGAGGCAATTTGTCGAAAGTGGTCCCGTAGTTCTTGTGAAGAAGTCGAAAATGGGAAAAGTTTACAGACGGACGACAGACAAAATATGATAAGAAAAGCTCACTTGAGCCTTTCAGCTCAGATGAGCTAAAAATGTTGAGCCCCACCCCCATTATATCGGTACATGTATAAGAATAACGCAAAAATATTTTTTTCCAGTGGATCATTACTACTGAGCACACACATTAACATTCAATCTCCAAGTATAACGAGAAAAAAAAGAATAGGCTGATTTAACAGATAAATCAAGAATTCTGGTATTCTGGCATATCATAGTGATGTACACCAATCCTTGACACAGTTTTATGACCAAGACCTACAGTATTGCGAGTGCTGCTCAATAAATGAATACAACTTGTTTACTTATCTATCTGCCTTGAACTTTGTTTATCCTTGTGTCTAGCTGTCTGTATGTCCGTCTGACTCTGTCTCTGTGAGTGTCAATCAAATACAGAGATCATGAATAGTAATCAAGATAAGAAGTCCATAGAAAAAATACAAATCAGGAGCAGAGCAAACACGGACCTCTGAAAATATCAGGCCCCGGGGCCATAAAACTTAGATGAGCTCACTTTTGATCTCAGTCTCACTTTTTCACTATATATTCCTTTTGTAAAAGAGACTGAGATCAAAAGTGAGCTCGTCTAAGTTTTATGGCCCCGGAGCCAGAGGTGGGATCAGGTGCTATGGAGGAGTAAGCATCTCCTGCCGACCGGTCACACCCGCTGTGTGCTCCTTGTTATGATCGGGAAAACGGAAAAATCCACAGACAATTCAGTGTGTAAATAATGACCTTACAATAAGTATGATAAACGTCAGTCAGCATTCGACTTGATGATTGATTGTATTTGCTGACAAGGTCATTGTATCGACCATAGAACTTGCGAAATGACGACTTTAAACGAGGCTGTTGATAACTTGTTTGTCAATAGCTTGTCTCGTTTTAGAAATTGTTCATACGTAGAGCATGCTCTTGCGTATCACATAAAGCCCATATGCAGGGGAAAAGGGTATATTGCTACTTAAGTAAGGGAAATTGACGATAGAAAAGTTGTAGTCATCACGTTTATCATAAAGTTTTGTTGTTACGTTATCATTAACGTCTCTTTCTAGTAAAATATCTAAATATGAAACAGATGTGTCAGACTCTGTAGTATCTTTTATTTCAAGTTCACTGGGATATATCCAGTCGACAATGAATGGTAGTAACTATTGTTTATTGATAACATGTCGATGTATCTAAATGTCGAGTTGAAGGCCACAGTAAGTGTTTTCTTCTTTTCATGTACACGTTTTTGAATAAATTCTGCTTCATATGAATACAAAAATAGATCTGCTATTAACGGTACTATAGTGTCCGGATAGGGTCATTTGCAAAAGCTCAACAGCGCGTTCAGAAAAACACGCCGTCGCGCTAACACACAACACGCCGTCACGCTAAACACACAACACGCCATCGCGCTAACACATCATTGAACAACACGCCGTCACGCTAACACAAGTTCGCACAACACGCCGTCGCGCTAACGCACAACACGCCGTCGCGCTAACACACAACTCGCCGCCGCGCTATCACAAAGTTGTGTTAGCGAGTTGTGTATAAGCGCCATGAAGTGTTTTGTATAATTGTGTTAGCGCGATGGCGTGTTGTGTGTTATCGCGATGGCGTGCTTTTCTGAACGCGCTGTTGAGCTTTTGCAAATGGCCCTATCCATACACCATACGGTTCCCATGGGAATTCCGACAGATTGTTTAAAGACCTGATCTCCAAAAACTACATGGATATTGTCAAGCTTTTTTCAATATCAATTTCAGAGTACTTGTGTGTACAATCAGAATGTTTTTCAACAAACTAATTTTGTAAATGACCAATGAGAAGGCAAGTAAATTTACGAGTTCCATTTTTATTGAAATTATAGCTGTCTATGATGTCAAAAGCCTGGATTTTAATTTGACATGGGGAATGTTTGTATAAAGTTTTGAAAAGTTGTACGTTTTGATGTTATTGATTTTGGTAAAATTTTGTGATTTCAAATTTTCTAAAAGTTTCTTGGGGTTTTAAGTATCCACATCTGATTTACACCACTTCTAGAATATATTGTTGAACAGTACTCCTGACGTTTTTCCTTAGTGAGAAGTAAAGAAAGAGGCTCGGTACAACATTTATTGGAACCCGCTATGCATCTTTGTAAGGATTTTTATGTAGTTTAGGAATCCAGTATAGGTATGGTAATTTAAATTCATTTTGATTGTCGGGAATATTAAAAAATATTTAAAAGTGACATATGGTTTTGAAGAATTTACTCCTTAGAAAGAGAACTATGGGTATAAATTGGATTGCCACTAGAGAATTAAATCCCATTTCCTCTAAAATACAATTAACATAATGAGCCTGACAAATAAAGAGGATGTTGTTACCTGCTTTGTCATCTGGGACCAGTACAAACTGATAGTGTAATCTATCCAATTCTTTTTTCACTTCTGAATTCTTGAAGACAGAAGGATAGATGGTTTTCATATTGTCCCTCAATCTCTTAATCCGATCTGATACTTTTAAAAAGCGTTAAGGTCTTCTTTTTATGTTGGCCCATCGTCTGGAGTAATCTTCCACAGAGTTCATAATATTTATGACGCCAATTGAAAGATCGGGGTTCCAAACATTTAGGACATAAGACTTCCCTGAAAAGGATTCGAATGATGGTTTAAAGAGCAAGATACTTATACCTTACATAAACCCATTCAC